GTTTTTATCAAAGCTCGAAAAATTCTACCCCGGGGGGGGGGAGCGGTTACAATTTTTAATTCAAAGGAGAAGAATAAATATGCTTTTAATGAACACATCATGTAAATGTTTAGCCTCCTGTGATGATTTTAGGATCCCAGACATCATTTTTGGTCGATTTAATTGACTAGAGCAGACTTCAGACAAATAGTGAAGTTGTAAAAGACTCAGATGTCATTAAGGAGCATATCTAAAAATGTAATATGCATCTAATGATATAAAAATATCTGCATGACAATTTTTGGGAGTAGATAATCTGGTACTTTAGACTACAGCTCCCTTAGTTCCTTGCCATTAGCTATGAACATAGATGGATGAAATCTATTCAACATTGGACAAAGCTGGGAAAGATATGCATAAGGCAATTCCTTTCTGTTAATGTTTCCACTATGAAATGGTATGATTCAGCGGATTCACAGTTCTTTCTACAATAATCCATTTATTAATACTGGAGCTTCTTCAGTGGCTGATTAAAAAAAAAAATCTCCAAATGTTTGTATCTCAGACTTCTTTGCAACCATCTGCTTTATCCTAGGTGCATGAGAAATAATGACCTTAATATTAACTGGACTGTTCTTTCCCTAAATTATTAGGGTCTTCTTTTCAAATAGGACTAGATCAATCCTTTTAAAAAAGCTGGCATACTTTGTTCTTAAAGCTATAGTTGGTTTAATTTGTGGGTTCACTAACTGCACCAAAACTCTGAAACATACCTCTGAAAAGTCTATTTAAATTTATCAAGGAAAATGTTCATGAAATAGGGAAGGTTGTTTGGAAGCCAGAGAAGGTGGACATGCTGGCATACCCTTTTTGGTTAGTTAAATGTTAAACCTGCCTACAGTTGAATAGTACAGCAAGGAAACATATCTAAAGTGGAGGAGCAAAAGGAATGACCGGTCCAGTTAATGATCACTGGCCAATTTCTAGTGGATCATGAGATACTTGAGACATCACAAGGTACCTCTTGTGTACTTAAGATTCCATGCATATCACAAATTATGACCAAAATCGTAAGATATTATGGATTTGCACTTATGTTTGTAAATTCAGAATGCATTAGTGAAGCAGAGATGTGGAATGGGCAACCTGTGATTCTAAGGCTGCAGGCAGTCCATGGCCTACTTTCAAAAGTCCTGAGGGCTAAGTTTAGATTTTTAATAAGAGATACTTTTTCCATTTCCCACTGCCTGCTGCATGGAGTGTCAGAAAGACAAAGACAAAAGAGCTATTTGGCAGGAAGAAAACAGCTCTCTCCATCTACATCAGCCCTGAAAAACTCAGCTCAGCTCACCCCTGCTTAAAAATGAAAACAAATAAATGTAAATAATCACAAAATGGTTCACATATATGTATGGAAATGAAATAGAGATACCTTTTTCTGGTTTTCATTCAAGGAAGAAGTAGGAGCATCCTCCTATATTTAGCTATTGGAGGTAAGGGAACTGCCCATCCTATTTTATGCAGGAGTGTCTATTTTTAGGGCCTTTTTTTTTAAACCAGTGGTGCTAAATATGGGTTCAAGCTGCCACCTGGAGGATTCCAGATGTGTTGGCAGCTATTTTCATCACAATCTGTTGTTCAACAGCTTGACTGATGGAGGGAAAGTAATTGGGAGAGCGAGTGAGAACACATTCATGTTTTCTGAAAATCTTGTTGATATGTCACTTTATTAACAAGAAACTGATTTATGAAGATAGTAAGTATATATTTTTGTGTTACGGCATTGTCAGGTTCATCTAGTTTTCTAGGAATCTCTCATTACTCATGAAAGTGAACTTAAGAATTGTCCTTTCTGGAAAAATGATACTGGAGACTTACAGCGTTTCTCTACTACATGGTTTATATTACATATTCAAGTGGGGCACAGATGGAGACAAATAAGTAACTGTTCATTGCCCATCATTATATTCCTTAAAGGGCACTTCAAGTTGCCTTCCAAACTACAGTTAAATCTTTTATGTTTCTTTCTGCCTCTGTTCAAGAACTCATATACACACAGCTGGCCTTGAAAAATGTCTGGACATTTAAGTCAATACAAAATGCAATATCTAGAAAAGACGTTAGCCCCATATCATACAAAATTTATATTTTTATAAAGGTAATTTCTGATTTTATGTTTTATGCTGCTGCTTTGGTTTTTGTATCTTGATGCCTCAGTTTTTCACTGTTTTAAAGGAGGCATGTTGGCTAGGAAGACTTCAAGGAATGGCTGCAGATTTGCCATACAATTTTTTCATAAAATAGGCATTAGGCAACAATAATATATTAATGTGTATACACCCCCCCCCCCAATAAGAACTCTGGTTTCTCCCCTGCAAAATGGAGCACGTGTATATTCCACTCATGTATGTAAGTTACTTATTACATCTAGTAATTCATTCAAAAAACCCCTGGATACTTCATCTTTTGCTATATCTTGCATTAAGTGCAGTGCTTTCCCCACATTTACAGCTCTTCTCACATTTTACTTAAATCTGAGAGTTAATTTTCCTGCTCTAGACATCAAAGATGAAACATATAACATCTGTATGCCGGATTATGCAATGCCACCATCTTTCCAGATTTCTGACATTTTAAAAGAGGTCTGAAGTATATAATTGGCAGTAAAGAATTTCAGTATTTTAAACCTGATTGCAACAACTGTTAAGGTGTGTCAGATATTGGGCTATTCAATTAAGATTTTTAATAGATTCTCATCAAACTGTATTTGAACCACTTCCATTGAGAAATCTGGGACTAGGTAAAAAGGAAACACTGGATTTAAATTAATTCAATTTAATTGAACTCAAGTGAAAAAAGGAGTATCAAATTTAGCTTTCAAATTTTACCAATGCAACAGAAACTGGCTGTAAGAGAAATACAGCTTTTCCTTACAACTGAGTCTTAGATATTATAGAAAACTTTTCTATGAATTTGCCAGAGTTCACTGATTTTAACCAAGTTGTGTGTTACTGAAATGTCTAGAAATGGGAAAGCAATGGAACTGATGGTGGTTAAGAGAATATCTTCCTGGATTCACATATTGTGCTAAACTGTGGCTTAATCATGATTTATATAAATCACAATTGACTGGATTCATGCGTGTTCAGCCAGAACTAAACAAACCATCTTAATGTGTTTAGTAACCAGCCCTATGGCTCTCTTTTGTAGAGCAAATCAACTGTAATAGCAAAGCTAAAACTCTACCAACAACTTTTCTGCTTGAAATCACACTATAACTGCCTACATCCTTTGAATGGAATTTTAAATATTTAATCTTGTAAAAAATATGGAGTTAAAATCAAGGGATGATTCTACCTATATAAGCAAAAATCCTCTCCCTACCCCATAATGTGTGTATATTAATAAAAGACATGGAATGTGGAATTTTGGGCTAAGGCATTGGTGTATCACGTAATACACATTTCACCGTAAAAAAAAAAAGAGGCATCAGTATTCTGTTTATTACATAATTGTTTATTTTTGCTTCAAGTTTTGTGCCCTTGTTGATTCAACAATGAAATCTGCAATTTGGTTCTTTCACTGACCAAACTGGATGCTGATTTAGAAACAGACCACTTGTCCTATTTGCTAACATGCTCCCTCTCGCTTAAGCTTTTAGACATGCAGAGAAAGAGCATGTGTGCATATGCCTTTAACACTTGCAGTTTACACTCAGTTGGGTAAAACATATAGTTAGTAAAGACAGGCTAAAGGCTGCAAAGGGCTTCTAATATATATGGATTAAAAAAAAAAAACCTTTGAAATTACATTTCTTTCTTATTTGTTGTTCTTTCTTCTTGTAAACCATAATATAAATGATTTCACACAATGTTTTCACTATTCCCCCCCACCCCCCCAATAAAAGCAACAATAGATAGAAGGCTGTTTGTTCTTAAGATGCATTAAAATGATTTGCAATCTCCTGCATTATCTCACAATCTTTCTCTGAGCTGGTAATGCTGCAGTATGGACTGGATGAAGTGGTAGAATATGAGCTCCTGACAGATGAAAAGCCTTCCTCTTACATACGGTGTCTGGTGCAATGATGTGCTTTGCATTTTCATAGATGTGCTAAGACAAGAAGCAGGTTAAATTTTATGCTGGCATCCAATCAAGTATTGTGGAAAATCTAATGATGTTTGGGTCACAGGCATGTGGAAGTTCTCTGGGCTCTATATTGGTTTATACACTTGTCTGGTATAACATTTTTATTATAGTTTCTCCAAAGATATTCTTGTTTCTGAATAATACAACCAACCTCCAACTCTTACTAGAAACAGTGTTTTCCAATTTCTATTAGCTCACCTCATTTCAAACCTATTAATGAACAATGATTTTGCTGTCTTGGAAAAAAAAGGGAAGATGATTGTAATATTTAAGGAGAATGTCTTTCGTTTTTCATGAGTAAATGACACTGAATGGCACGAATTCGATTCTTTGCTGGTGCAAATTCAGGCTGAAGCTTCAATGTAGATTCATACCACCTCATCGCCTTCTCAAACTCCTCCTGTAGGAATCACAGATCCAAAATCATCAGCATTCAAAATAACTTTTACCTTACTATTGTATACACCATACTTTGTTAACCTATTAGGGATAGAGCGCTGAATCTCAAAGTAAATACCTTCAAGCATTGGGATATTAATAAGCCCAGGCAAATGAACATAAGAAACAGGCCTTTCTTTTTAATAGAATATTTTTCTCTGTCACGATAGAAGTTTATGTGGATTTTTCTGCTTTATTAGATTTATATTCTGCCTTTCCCCCAGGAGCTCAATATTCCTAATTAGCCATTACAACATAACTTAATGCTACTGAATGAACTCGTTTAACTCTTGGGCTTCAGTATTTCCTCCTCCCTTTCCTTGGCCAAAACCCAAACTGCATACACTTTCACTGTTAAAAAAACCTTACACTTCCTCAATTAAATTAAGCTCTATTTATTATTATGCCAAAACTGGAAAGAAATAGTTACTTACCTATACCTAGTCTGAGTAGGCAACTCTTATGTGAATTTACACATAAGGGGTTCTGTACTTGTGTATTAGTGCTATTGGAATATTCCACAACTAAAGCAATTTTTGGTGGGAGTCCTATTGCCACATATTTATACGGCCAGATATGGATCCCTCTTCCTCTCCATTTCGACATAGCAATGACAAAACCAAAGGAGTGAAAAGCAATTACCTAAGACTGTAAGGGGATGGGTTGTGTGAATTCACAGATGCCAACCAGAAGAACCTCAGTTACAAACAAATAACTAATTCTTCTTCATTATGTTCTCTATGAATGAAGCCAATGATGCCAAGGCTATTCTGCTGCCTGCCTTTGAGAACCAGTATCTAGGGCTTCACGGATGGAGAAGGCTGTATCCATTGAGGCCACCCTGCAAAGCTCTTGAAGTGGGAACAGGCCTCAGGATACAGAGATGGGCACAAGAGAGGTGGAACAGCCTTCCATACTCTCTGGTTATGCATATTAGCCACCTTGTATCATAGTCTGATATCAGCCAGGGTTGAAACTGGCATTCCTTTCCCAGATTCCGTACAGCAAAGGAAGAGGCACATATCCTTTTGGAACAATGCTGTTTGATGAAGGCAGAAGGTTATGACCCTGTGCAAATCTAGAGTGTGAAAAGACAAAGGGACATTTACCAAAAAACAAAACAAAACAAAACAAAAAAACCAGGAAAGACCATGTTCTGGTTCAGGTGGAAGTCCAAATTGTTTTGGACAAAAAGTATGGATTGGGGCAGAGGAAAACCTAACAACAATGGTGTAATCATAAGGCTGCTAATTCACTAGTTCATCTCACTGATACGGCAATAACAAAAACTGTCCGCTAAGCAAAAATTGGGCAATTAACATGTACTCACTGCTGTTGAATCTTCGCTATGGCCCTGACTAGTAATAATATTGAAGAAAGAAGTAGAATAGTTGTCTCGTCCAGAAAAAGAGAAATATGTCCTAGAGATCCCTGTTCCAACCTCATTCTGCTGCATTATCTGTTGCACTGACAGTTGCTCTGAGATGCAAATAGATCCAGTATGAGATATTCCCACCCCCTTAAAAGGGAGGTGAGGACAATATGCTTGATTCTCCATTCATAGGAGACCTGGAGTGATCAATAAAGGGAGTTTGTCAGGAGATTGTTCTGGCCTGACATATGAACTATGATGAAATAAATTCACTGCACACATATACTAGGTTCAAAACCAAAGGGTAAGCTGAAGAAAGCATATGGATCTTGTCTGCTGAAAACGACAGACACATTGTTGGTTATATTTGAATGAGACAAGAGGTGACATCTAGGGTTGTGCTGCACTTTGTATCCAAAACCAAAAAGGTATTTTGGAGAGGACAGGGCACATGCTGTACCTGTCAGTGCCTCCTTAAAGGAGTTGCATCTTTTCCTGGGTTTGGATGATAGCCATGTGATTCCAAGAAAATATGTGAGTTAAGGAGACACTGATTGCACACCCACACCGAATCACCTTGTCACACCTTATCAGTGCCTCCTTAATCTCAAATGTGTATTTGTCCAGACTCAGATTGCTACTATGCAAGCCCAGGAGAGTCTTCTACATCTAGACAATAAAAGTACCCCATAATCATTGTGCTTTAGCAATGGCATGTCCCTTTCTGGAGAAGTTGGGTGTCCTTGTTTTGTTAGAAAGATTGGCTCTAATGTGAATTACAGTACTTTAAAGAAAGGCATGACAAGGAGTAAAGCTTCAAAGTTCACAGGTCTAAGGCATTCCTAGCTTCAAATGCCAGGTTGAAACTTACAGATATCAATCAGGCTTGTGAGGCAACCAAGATGATAAGATTAGAAGCCTCTAAACCCTGGAACTCAGAGGGAGGCCTATTGGCCTCAATGCAGTGACCAAATGGAATTTATGAAATCGGAATAAATCTCTGTATTGTAAATGCTTTTTAACATCACCCTTCGAGATGGAATCTTTGGTTGTGTCAGACAAATAGGATTATTTGTCTTTTGATTGTCTTCTATCTTATTGGTGAAAGGAGTAAAGGTGCTGGGTGTTATTAGCAATGGGTTCCTCAGGTAAATAGTGCAAATGGAACTGAAGGTGGCAAAATTACTTTGAGGTCATAGATGGTGCAATCTGTGTTAAATGCTAATCCTGTCCTTTTTCTTTTGACATCTGGATTGATTTGACTCAGCTTGAGGCAACTGGCTGGACTGGTCTGGTGTTACTAATCAGAATGGGACCAAAGTTGGTGGGTAGGGTAGATTGTGTTCTCTCCTGTTTAGTTTTTTCCACCCCACCAAATCATGTATCCCTGAAATAAGTTCCACTTTAAGAGCTTTCAACAGGCAGACTGGGACTATTTAAATTGGGACAGGAACATCCTGAACTATTGAGTTAGCAATCTACAACATTACCCAACAGTGGAAAGAATACTTCTCCTTCATAGCAGGAGATAATCTTCTATTTTATGGCCCTCCATCAGGCACAAGGAGTAACCATCTGGCAGTAGTATCTTATTGCCACATGACTGATATTATGAAATGTCACCTCATTATAATGCTATATAAAAAAAATACAAAGGAAGGATACAAAAGAGGAAACCCAAATTCTATGAAGATTGAATCTCTGGAATATATTTCTAGGATACTACTCTATGGCTGAAAAAGAAGAGGGGGGAAAGGAAACTTCTAGCCAGCTATATAAGCGACAGTGTGGGACTCCCATTAAAAATGTGCAGAATCCATATTGATTCACAGAAGCCACCATTAAGAATAGGTGATAGTTTGAACTGCAGAGAATAGGCAACAACTGAATCTCTAGTCTATTCAGTGTTGCAGATGGCCCAATCAGCTGGCTTAAACCAAGTCAGACTGGAAGTGATACACAATGCTTCCATATTCCTTAGAAGCATGGAAGACACAAAGGCTGCAGAGACTGAGAAAAGGAGAACAGAGCAGAAAATGGCATAGGGGCTAAAAAGTTTTATAATTCTAGGCTAATGAAGGTCAGTGGTGAGCCAAGTAATCATACACTTTCACCTCTAACAGAAGGCCATTATAAGGACAGGAGAATTTTAGGCCTGAGGAGAAACAAAAGAACCACTGAAAGTCTGCACTGAGCTTCTAGACACTAGTGGGCATTTTGTTCTAGTTCACGTGGTGAAAGGGCGTGGGTGAGAATATGATCGATGTTCGATCTTGGCATGTTTCAGTAGACATAGCCTGTTTATTTAGTACAGAATTTATATACCGCCTTTCTGTTGTTATAATAATTACTATTTGTCCTTCTCAAGATAGCAGTTAACTGCAACTATCTGCTTCCAATCACTGCTTTGCAGATATGGAAGGAGAGACTCTGAGCAAGATTAATTTATTCTGGTTCATGTGTCTCTAAAACATAACTTTGCACTACTTCTGAACCTAAGTATAAAGTATGAGATCTTGTGCTCAACTCACGTTACCCCTGTGTTATGGAAAACTTTCCATATGGAAAATGGAATTACATATACATTTCCCACACAAGCAGTTATATGTTTAAACTAATTTAGTGCAGATACACTGGGTCATTTCAACCAAACCAGTGCTGCATAAGATGTTATCATATAAACCACGTCCAATATAAAACTCTGCATTTTCCCCTTCGTTAACTATAATGTCATAAAAGTACCATATCAACCAGACTAATGTCATAGATCAGTATGTAATGACTGGGAGAAATGTGGAGAAAATGGATGGCTATCACACAGAAGTCAAAATAATTACTTTATCCAGAAACCGCTAAAAATAATTTAGAGATCATTGGAAGAGAACAGATATTATTTCATTAAATTAATTTAGAGTATGCTTTCACTTTTAGTTTATGGCTAAAATTATTATAAATGTTATTATTTATTTTATTATTATAAATAAAATTATGGTTCACTGACCCAACACAACTTCTTCCCAGCTTATCACTTCTTTCTGCAATGGAAATAAACTTCTGCTTGGTATGGCTTTTTAAAGCATTCTGAAAAATCTTATACTTTCTGAATGAAAAAGTATGATATGAGATACAGTGTACAATAGTGGATTCTGGTAAGAAGAAATGAACCACATGGTACAGAGAGTAAAATAAATTATGTCACCCTAAAAAACTATAGTATTTCATGGGATCCTCACCTATTTCACTTCTATACCAAAAGAGAGTATTTCTTACTTGCTGGTTTTCTCATGTCAATATGTTTTCTTGTTTCAGGGGTTAATTCACCAGGTTACTAGTCTTCCTAATGCTAAAACTTGGTACTTTTATCACACATTAGATCTGACAGAAGGGGATGACAAGTGACTGGTTATCACATTTCCTCCCCACAAGTTACTTCTAACCTCCAACTTTCTGAATGAAGATGGTCATTATTCCATTATTAGATAATGTAGACAAAGAACATTTCTTTACAAAGCGATTTACAAAGAAGTGTATGGTGGATGATTAGCAGTTATCGCTATGTTTAATGTTATACAGCCAATCATCAGACCAATCTCTCTCTACCAATTTGATCATAAGAACTTTTTCATTTGTATTTACACTTGTAGGACTGCTGTGATTTCATGAAAAAAAGGATGTGTTTTACTCTTGCAGGCAGCATGTTTATGTTACATTCAAGTAACATATTGGTAGATGCATCATTTCCATCTTATATAAATTCACTATTAGAAGACGTCTGTGGGTAGTTTTCACATAAATGGTATATATATTTACACAACTAGGTATAAAGGAGAAGAGCCTACCATGGCTCCAGGATTGCAGAAGAGTCAGTGTTGCCAGGATTGTGGCTCAACCAAACAAAAGACATCGAGAAGCATGGTTAAAACTGCCAGTAATATGATGCCCTATTCTAAGAGACTGTATGGGGTTTCCCTGCAAGTTGAGAGTTTGTATGACTTATGATGGATTAAAACAGGCTTCAGGCTCAAAAAGGACAGCCTAGGGGACAGGTGAAGCTCTAGAACTGAATTCCAGGAAAAGATCACATGGATGCTGAGCAAAGTTCATCCTCTCTCCAAACTAAAGTATGGGTAAGAAATCCAAAGCACAGTTCAGAAAGTTCTGTCTCATCCAAATGATAAACTGAGAGGTGGGGTGGAGTTAAATTTACTGAAAATTTTCAGAATGGAAAAATAATAAAAGGAAAAGATTCTTTTATTTTACAAACTGCTATTATGTGTTGTAAGTCTGGACGGCTGTCTTAGGTTTTTAAACTTCTCTATCACTGGGCCTCAGAGTGCTATAAAAAGAAATGGATCAAAATTTAGCAATTATTTACTCACCATTGCTACATAAACATTAGCCAAGGTGAAATGATTGACGACAAAGTGTGGAGCAATCTCTACTGCCATTGTAGCCACGATGATAGCATCATTCCAAAGCTTTGCATTGTGGAAGATATTTGCTAAACTTATGAGAGGCACATCCTGAAAGTGGAACAAATCCTGTGTGAGGAACATGTTGCTTTTAAAAATCAGGCTATTTAAAATAATGGGTATTGAAAGATTCGGCTCTTATTAATGTCAGCTTCCATTTCTTGTTCCTGATGCAGAGATTTTAATCAATAAGGGAAAAAAGTCAACTGTCCCAGTGCAGAAGTTCTCCTGCCTCATTTAACCAACAAAGTGTCAACAGAAGGATTTCTGCAATTAATATCAATCATCTAAATCAATGAAGATGGGAGGACACATTTTTAAAATGGCACTCTTGAAAAATCAGTTCATTTCTATATTAATAGGGAGATTGATTGATCGATTGATTGATTGATTGATTACATTTCTCACCCGCCCATCTCCCCCCAATGGGGGAACTCTGGGTGACTCACACC